CTATTATTGTCTGTGTCCATGGGTTATGTATATATGCACATCAATTCTTATGTTAATCTCTCCCCATCCACCCACCCACCCCCGCCTTCTGAGATCCGTCAGTCAGTCTGTTTCATGCTTCTCTGTCTCTGGATCTATTTTGTTCATTGGTTTATTAGATTCCACATATGAGTAAGATCATTAATAAAACAAAGAGCTGGCTTTTGAAAACATTCATAAAATTGACAAACCCCTGACTAGACTCACTAAGGAAAAACAGGAAAAGACCCATATAAACAAAATCAGAAATGAGAGAGAAGTCACCACAGACATCACAGATACACAAAGGATCATACTAGAGTATTATGAAAGACTATATGCCACCAAATTCAATAACCTAGAAGAAATGGATAAAGTCTTAGACATATACAACCTTCCTAGACTAAATCATGAAGAACTGGAAAATCTAAATAGACTGATCTGCAGCGGGAAATTGAAACAACCATCAAAAAACCTCCCCAAGCCTTGCTGGTTTGGTTCAGTGGCTAGAGCATCAGCCTGTGGACTGAAGGATCCCAGGTTCCATCCCAGCCAAGGGCAAGTACCTTGGTTGCAAGCTCAATCCCTCACCCTGGTTGGGGCATGTGTGGGAGGCAGCCAATTGATGTATCACTCTCACATCTATGTTGTTGTTGTTTTTTTGTCTCTCTCTCCCTTCCACTCTCTCTGAAAAGCAATGGAAAAGATATAGCTGAGGATTAAAACAACAACAACAAAAACCTCCCCCAAAATAAAAGTCCAGGATCAGATGGCTTCACCAGTGAATTCTACCAAAGGTTCACAGAAGATTTAAAACCTATATCTGGGATAGCTTCACAAATGGCCAAAAGAGTGAGATGGGGCATTCATAGAAGAATACATGGAAACTATAGAGAAAGGAGCCAATGTAGTACCACAGGAAAAAAATGAGGCATTGTAGTTCCACATTTTGTATTCAAATCCTTGTCCTGCCTCTTACCAGCTGTAACTTGGAGCAAGTTACTTGACTTCCATGGACCTCCGTTTAGTTTGCTATAAAATCTAAGTAATACCTCATAGATCCGCTGGAACATTTAAATGGAATAACTTGTGCAAAACAACTAATACAATGTCTGGTTCTGGTAAACATTAACTAAATATTGAAAGTAAAGAGAAACAGGGAGGAGTAAATGGGTGAGTTTTTAAAAATAAGATTTAGGAGCCCTGACTAAGTGGTTCAGTTAGCTGGAACTTGTATACCAAAACGGTTGTGGGTTCAATTTGCAGTCAGGGCACATATCTAGGTTTCAGGTTTGATCCCTGGTCGGGGCACATACGGGAGGCAACCGATCAATGTTTCTTTCTCACATCAGTGTCTCTCTTTCTCTCTCTCCCTTCCTCTCTCTCTAAAAATCAATCAATTAAAAACATATCCTTGGGTAATTGCTGTTATATAATGTCATCAGAAGACAAAATAATAGGATGGTAATAATTTTTATAGTAAGAGAAATGTGAACAGCCTGCAAATGTTAAGTTAAACACCTAAGATGCAAGAAGAGTTAGGAAAAAGTCAAGAAGCATATGATTTCACTCATATGTGGCATATAAAACTGAAAACAACAAACAAACAAAAACTCATAGACACAGACAATAGTATGTGTTTATCAGAGGAAAAGGAGGGTGGAGGAAGTGGTAAAGGAGGAGTCAAATGTATGAAAGGAAATTTGACTGGGTTGTAAACAATTAAATACACAGATGATGTATTATAGAATTGTACACTTGAAACCTATATAATTTCATTAACCAATGTCACCCGAATAAATTCAGTTTAAAAAAAGCAAGGAAAAACAAAACAAAAAGAAAGAAGAGTTAGGAGAAGTTGCATTCACAGAAGGAATATCTTGATGGAATCAGAATTTTGCAAAGTGAACAAAGCACAAGAAAATCATTCCAGGCAAAGGGGATGATGTATTTGAAAAGGCATGGCAGTTGGAAAGAGCCAAGATTGGCCCATAATACAGGCTGTGAAATTAATGATTTATTGGTCATCAAAAACTTTAAAATATTCAATGAGTCTTGACTATACACATTGATTCCATCCATGTTTCTTTTTCCTTTCTACTAAAAACAAAGGTTTCCTTTTTACAACTACCTTAGAACAGCCAAACAGGTTTTGACTTTTCCTTCCCACAACCTCTGCTTTGGCCTGCATCTTGGTGATTACTACCTGAAAGACCAGTTGCTGGAACTGACCAATACGTGTGACCAGGAAAATGACATCTGGAAGTTAGTGGGGCAGTAGAAAAAACTGTTGGCTTGTTGACAGTTTAGTTAAAGCACTCCTGGGCTTTTCCTTCCAACCATCAAATAATAAGAAATCAGGGAGACTGCATCCATC